CTGCTACTACAGCTACTGCTACTACTACTACTACTACTACTACTACTACTACAACAACTACAACTACAACAACAACAACAACAACAACAACTACTACTACTACTACTACTACTACTACTACTACTACTAGTATCCACAGTATACAGCCGCATGATATTCAAAGCTGTAGTCTGGCCTCTCCAAGAAAGGCTCAAGCTGGTGTGAGAGCTTTTCGTTTGTCAACGTAGTGAAGCGCCATGTGGCGTGCAATCGCCATTGTCATTCTTGGCCAAGCCAGAGCCGTCAAGCTAGCTGCGATACCCGTCTGCAAAGGCAGCCTGGTGCCTTCAAGCAAGATGTGCCAGGACTTGACTCTGGCTGAGTGTGCTGATTCGTACATCATCGAGACGGATTCTACGTACATGCAGTGTGGCATCACGACTGGCAAACAGTGCCTGACCATTGGCCCCATCTGTCAGAAGCCCAAGGTCTCTCTGCCAGACGGCGGCCTGGAGTTCTACTTCGGCTCCTCTTTGGCCTCAGGGGTGGCGTCGGATAGCATCCTCGACAAGGGGAAAAGCTATGGCAGTCAGAAGGCGAGCGGTATGGACTACGGCTGGTTGTGCAACGGATCACCGATCACGGGCTACGACTTCGCAGGAGGCCGTCGAGGCCCGCCGCGGAGCACATATGGCCTGAACCACTTCGACCGCAGCAACAAGTGCAAGTCTGGGAGCACCTACCTTCCCGTCACCTGGAAGCTGGATGTCCCTGATGGAAAGTACAAGGTGGAGGTGATCTTCCCTGAGTCAACAACGCCAGAATGCCAGGTCCAGGGTTCGAAAGTTTGCGGCTCACGAGGCCCCTGCACCTACAGCAAGGTCATCCAGGTCACTGGCGGCCTGAAGGTCACCGGCTACGGTCATGACTCCCGTAAGTGCCATTCCGTGAGCAAGGTGAAGGTGATGCCCGCATAGTGGCGCAAAACCGACTCGGGATAGCAAACGCCCTTGCAGAAAGATGACGCAGCTACTGCTGCTGCTGCTACTACTACTACCACTACTACTACTACTACTACTACTACTATTACTACTAGTACGTGCCTATACTTGAGAGATCGCTGGTACCCTCTTGGGGAACCCCATGATTTTTGTACGGTGGTCGCCAAGCTTCCTATTTTTTCAGTCAGCAAGTTGGTCAAGTTGTGGAGAGCTTTGGGCTTGCATGTCTTACTAGAGACCTTAAATGGGTTCCAGTTGTGACAACTTAGCATATTCGCAAGAGCAGCAGGGAGTCAAATCGGTATGCCGTATCCGGCTTGACACCATGCTTTCAAAGAATGGCGGTGCGATCCATTGGATGTTGTGAGATCTGGTTGCAGTCTGGCTGTCGCATTTCCCAGATAAAACCTTAACTACGTATAGACCGTAAAGACATGTGCAATGAAGATCCACTGTTTATGAACCTGAATGTGAGCCTTGTGGTGCTGCCATATTCTTAACAACAACACTGTTAACGACAACAAGGATACTAAGAACCATAGCATTCAGTAGTAATAGTAATAGTAATAGCAGTACTTAGTACTAGCAGTACTGACAGGAATAAGAGTAATAACCGCGAAAACAGTAATAAGCGTAGTAAAAGTCAGCACAGGAATAACAGTAGCATCGATAAAAATAGGTGGGAACAAGTTGCGCCAGAACCTGCCATGGACGTGACTGCCAGACAAGTGCAGTTTCAAGCCCTGGAAAAGGCCACTTTTCTTTGAATATTCCTAGCGGCTTTAGAAAAATTATGTCCGTTCTAGCCTTGTTCCTTTCTAATGTGACGCCCGCCTGCTGATGCTCATGATGCCCATCCGCCCACCCGCTGAGGTCCATCCGCCCACCCGCTGATGCCCATCTGCCCGCGCCGCCCTAATGCTCATGATGCTCATCCATCCACCCATCCCATGAGGTCCATCCCCGCCTGCTGATGCTCATGATGCTCAGCCATCCGCCTGCGCGCTGAGGTCCGTCCGCCCGGGCGGAGGTTTTGGGGGTCTCATCCTCACCCCGGCCCGCATGGCCCGCCAGGGCTCCGCGGATGCTCATCTGGCTCACGCGCTGGCTGCGCCCAGGCCGGGCCCCGGCGACAGCACGCCCGCTGATGCTCATCGAGGCCTGGCCCGCCCGCGCCCGCCCCTCATCTGCGTTCGACGCCTGCCCGCAGTTCTCGCCCACTGCGCGCCCCGTCTAGCTGTTTGAGAAGACTGTCACACCACTTACTGGGACCTGCGCTCTCACCGGACAGTACTAGTACTCGTATCGTGCCCTTGGAATTAGGAGTGAAGCTGTGCGTCTTGCTGCTTGCATGACCCGTGCCACCAGACCCTCGTGATCCGCAAGCCCCTCGCCAGGCAAGCTGGAAGAGCCGGCAGGCGGGACCGCAGTGGTGCTGGCAGCACTGGGTGATGCTTCGCAACATCGCGTTTGTCTGTGCCAGAGATGGCAAACGTACTTGGGGATGGCATGCGGGCGCTCCGCTACTTAGATGGGGAAGTGACACGACGATTCTTGCAGCCGGAGGTTGCGTCGGAAGTTCAGCTTGTTTATATATGGCATACAGTACTTTTTGATTGGAGGGTGTGAGTTGAAGCGCCAGCCAGTTCCGCAGCATGGTTTTCGGTGGGACAGCATGCATGGATCATTGCATCGAGGGTGCACGATGCACGGGATACGGGTGGCGTATATAATACACGCAAGGGGGTGTAGCAAGCACACGTCGTGGCGGCGTGCAGTCGCAAGATCCTTTCGGCATCCTCGTTTGAGATGACATGAGACTGGCAATAGTAATATTGTTCCTGTTTTTTAATGCACAAGTAACTAGTATTGTTGCTATCGCTTCCGCATGTTTCAGGAGTCGGCGATGCCACTTTAGATGAGTTTTGGGTTTGGGTCTTAATGTCAAGGTTCCTGAACACGAGACTACGTGCAGAATGAGTGTTACGCATCTCGTTCGTGTCGTTGGTGGAAGCTTGTGGCCATTGTTCTCAATCTTGCGAACATATAATTCACAAGTGCAAAAGGCCCAAACTTGAGCCGAATGCCTGAGCCACCATTGCATCACCCAGAATGCACACGGGTCGAAGACAGTGAGCTCAACATCCCTGATCTTGAGCACAGCAGGACTGATGATTGTAGTTGATGGTTGATTGAGCTGATGATTGACGGAGATGATGTAGTTCATGATGGTGGTGGTGTTGATGATGGAACACATGTTTTATGGTGCAGTGTAGAATCCTTACGGCATTCTGTGGTTATGTGGTTTGCTTGGTCGTCAATGTGCTTGAGGCTAGCTCTGTGTAACCGTAAGCATTGTTTAATTCGCTGTGCTTGTGGAGTCTCGCTTTGATACCGAAACGTCTGCTGCTATCCTGCTTGTCTTTCTATCAACCGGCCTGGCGGAGGCTGGTCATGGCCAGGCGCGGGGGTTATGCGGGAACATCCCCCGCCTCCGCCGACCCGCTGCCCTTTTGCCGGCGAAAACAAAGCAGGGCTTTTTGGGTAGCAAGGGGTCCTCACCCCTCCTTGTGGTTCCCAGGTCCACTGCTGCTGCTGCAGCTGGTAGGGCGATCTCAATATTTTGCCAAGATAAGAAGACCTCTCGTTTAAAAGATTCAAGACATCGGTGTTAACGTGCTTCATCATGAAAAACACCTTGTTTTGGAGTTGTCGAGTTGGAGTGGATGCTTTGATCTTCTACGTAGATCCTGCAGTTAGGTGTGGTTGGCCATCCATGTTGATTCGCTCTGTCTGGCTGGAAACAACTCGTACGGACCTGTGATGCAAAAAGGCTTTCGCGTAGTTGAGTGAAGGTGCATCATGTGTTTACCGTTGCTCTGTTGTTTGTGAGGAACAGGCGGTGAGCTATCGACATGTTACAAATTCTAGGTACGTTGAGCGAGATCGGAAGGCCCTGAATTGCCCGAGCATCCCAAACAGGGTCGCCCCACTCAGGCGAGCCCAGGATCTTCCCAGCCGTTTCGTTGAAACTTGCAGCGGGCCTCCCTGTATGAGGCTCAAAGTAGATGAGGAACGAGCACTGGGCAGCAAGCGGTTTCGAAATCTCCTGATGGATTCAGCTTCGAACCCAGCACAATCATCGGTGTTTGTTCATGGTGATTGTTTCCGGGCTGTTGAACTGATAGTAGTAGTGTTGGCAACGTTTTGTCATCAATGCCATTGTCGATATCATGTCTGCCATGCTTCTCACTAACCATCTCTGCCCTGTTGAAATGTTACTGTTGTTATCAGTGTACTTGCCATGATATTAATGGTACATGTTATTGTTCAATACTTTTATCTTTGCTGATACTGATACTGGTACTGCTGCTCATACTGTGGCTGTCACTGTTACGGTTGCTTTGCTTTGCTGTTGTGGTTACTGTTGTTGGTTACTCGTAGTTCTTCCGTCACTGCCCTTGTAGGAGGTGCTGTTGTTCGAACTCTTAAAGGGGTCTTTCGGCCTTCGGGGACCCGGCTCATGAATTGACGTTTGTGCTGCAATTTATGCTAAGAGAGTTGCCACCCTGCAACCTACCGAGCTGTGAGGTTCGTACTGCCAACGTCCGAGCCTATGCCGGGAGCTAAGAAAAGTCCCGAAGACAGCTATGGCTCTCAGCCCCCTCAAACGAAAGCGACCAATGCTTTTCCAATCACGTGAAAGGATGCTCATGACGAGCAATGCTAAGGTCTCAGCCGCAATGAAACAATCTTCCTCGTTTGTAAAGCCTTACACTCTAGTAGAGTCCATGGTCAAAGGTACCGGTATTCCAGCCCTCAGCTCTGAAATCTGGAAAGACGTTAATCCTTAAGCTTGAAGGCTTGACCTATAGACTGCAAGATCCGAACGGTCTTTCTTCTGGTTCCGATGTTTGTTATGGACGTGGCATCGTATCTTCTTGCATTTTTCAATTGTCTTCTTCAGCTATTGTGTGTCCGCTTGAGGCTCTGGGCACGCGCAGGATGGGACATAGTCAGGGCCGCTCGTGCTAGAAGCTTTGCCGGCGTCTGGAGTTAAGACTTGGGTTCGGGACGTTTTGGTTCAGGGTTTCGGTTTTACTAAAAGCCCTTCCAACCAAAAACCCAGACCGTCAGCCCTGAACTCTAAACCCTAGGCCCTAAACCCTAAACCCCTAAACCCTAAACCCTAAGACCCCTGAACTTTAAATTCTAAACCCGGGGAGTGCCTCTGTCCTCCAACAGGTCGACAGCTCGTGCTTGAACCCAGGCGCGCGTCGTTGCGTCTTGAGGGTCACGAGGCTTCGGAAGCCCACTAAACCCCAACCCCACTGAACCTTAAACCCTAAACCCTAAACCGTCGGTGGTGGGTCTGCCTGAACCTCACACTCTGGAACCCAGGACTCCTGCCCACAGGCAATCGTGGCCGAGGCGATGAAAATGATCATATCGACCATGTATTCACAATAGATGCTCAAAGGTTCAGGCTCGAACAGTCAATCTCCAGGAAAATACGGCTTGATTTTGGGTCCATCGCCCTCGTTTGCCCCACTTCTTCTCCCCACTTCTCTGTCCCTCAGCTCTGCATCGTGCCGACTTTGGCTCGC